TTTTGCTCCTTCAGAGGAGAATATTCAGAAAGTAGCCAAATCTCCTAGGCCAAGAAATGTGAAAAAGGTTCAAACATTCAGAGGCATAGTAAATTATTTTCGACACTTAATTTTTAATTATGCAGAAATTCTCAAGCCAATAGTAAATTTAACAAGAAAGAATATACCATTCGTGTGGAACGAGAGATGCCAAAATGCCTTAGATAAAATACAAGAATTAACTTTAGAAAAGCCCACAATAAAAAACATAGAAAATGAGAAACCTTTGTATTTAGTAACCGTGTAGTAACGTGTGGCCCCCAACTTGTCAGCAACTGTGATAGTGACTGCTACGAAATATAGATTTACACAAACACGTAAGAAGGGTTTAAAGTCTTTTTTATTCCACTTTAAAAATAGCAGCTGCGTCCACTTGACGCTCACAAACTAGCCGACCCGGCGGTTTAAGAGAAATAGAATGTAAAACTGAAAAAATAATGACTGGATGAATAAATAGCTAGATCACTATCCACGAGACTCTGAAATCTTAACTAACCTAACCGCGTTTTAAAATGCAGCTGAGATTTAGCGAGCTTACTAATTAAGCAGTTGAAGGATTCATCAAAAACTGCCGAGATAGGCACACAGACCGAAAAGCGCGGTTCTTAAATTTCTACCTAGCAACCTTCACGTTCGCGATTCAAGAAGCACACATACAATCTCGTTTTCCTTCTATATTAAAACTCAACTTACTTCTGCTAAATTTGAATATACTGCGCATTCTACTACAATTTACATACTCTAGCATTGGCAATTCTAAGGGAAAGTAAAGGCTTGACAGAAAAGATAGCTTAAACTTAAAATAAATGTTAGTTAAAATAAATATAAATCCTACATTTGCCGCTGCCAGAATTTGGTAAACTTGGAAGCAGGTCCTAGAAACGACCTGTTAAAAAGTTTCCATATTCTAACCTAAGACTCAAGAAGCTCCGTTTACATAAAACAAACTTTTGCCTACAAAAAATATATATATATATACAATCGTTTTTGTAGACGATTAGAATACAATATCTTCTTACAGGATACTCTCTGCTGTTTGGTCTTCATCAATTAATCTTTTTCTCTTCCTTCCACCATCTGGAAGGAATAAGTATCAGTATATTCCAAATACATTATGATTTATCTTAACACTAGATAATGTTTTCGTTTCCTTTTCTTTTCCTTATTTAGCTGCTTACATTCGCATTCATTCAAATATTCAAACATGAATTTTACTTTACCCTGGTGCTCCACCATGTGTGGTGTCCAACGGGAATCTTCGTGTTTTTGTATTTCAACACTTCCCCTAACCACAATGATTTGTTAAATTTCAAACGACCAAATATAACACACCCTAATCCAACATACTGAAACTCGATGAGCTATGTTTAGCATTCTTAAATTCAAGTGTGGGTGGAGAACCCTAAAAAAACACATTCATTTTAAATTTCCCCCTAATTCATCTTTTGACATGCAGGCTTTCGCTCTAAAGCATGATTTTATCTACTGTTTAACATTAGGTTTTAACTCGTTTCTTTTGAGCATTTACTTTTAGCATCTAAAATTTTATGCTTCTAGACTAAATTCTACTTTTACATAACTTTCAAGTATTTGCCTATATTTACAAAATTCTAATACATATGATTTTTACAATTTACAATAAGATGAATAAGAGAAATAAAATTTTACTTCACGCTTTCTTCGCCAAGCTGGAGGCACTGAAACTAAATTTTCCATTAATACAAGAATACGAAGTTATTTTACTTTTGGCCAAATTTTGGCTTAACATAACAGAACCAGTCTTTCGACCAACAGGAACTGCTTGCTGTTAGATTTTACACTTAAAGAAAATAATGCTTTCGCCTTAGCTAACTACAGTAAACAAAACTAAGTCTCAACGGAGACAAATTGCCTTCCGCCAACACATAGAACTTCGTATTTACACATAACATTTCAGAACAAAAGAAAAATTTATAGAAGATTTTAACTTATCTTCTCGTGAACGGCGGTCTTGTTTGCTCCTGACTATGGCCCTGGAAGTGGTTTCCTCGACGCAGATTTTCTACTGTGGGAAGTTGTAACTGGTCTTTTCCTGTTAACCAAAGATTCTTTACGTCGAGCGGGCGGTGTTAATTCTGGAATTTCCACTTCTTTTGCGCTTGAGTCCTGCAAGAAACTTTTAAGGATTTCGAAATTATTTTGATTAATAATATTTTTTTTCACCTAGTCGGGACTTGCTTTACAGGTTTCCCCTCACTCGTTCTCAAGGTACAATACGACTCCCTTGATTTCCTGTATTACATAGGGGCCTTCAAACTTCGGAGCCAATTTTGCAGTGAAATTATCTGGAGCACTTGATAAAGAAAATTTCCACCTTAACACTTTTTCACCTACTCTAAAGTCTGCTTCACGGCGTTTTCGATCGTAATAAAGTTTCTGTCTATTGCTTGCGGTATCCGAGTTTATTGTTATAGTATTATTATGTTTTAAAGCAGTTATATTATTTCACTATGGTATTTAAATTTTGTGTACCCCTATGTAAAGAAAACTATAATGGTGGACCTCGTGTCCACGTATTTTCCTTCTCAGGAGATCCTGAATTGAAGAAGAAATGGATTTATTCAATAAAACGAGACAATTTCGAGCCAACCAAAAATTCTAAGGTAAGTTAATTTATATTTTTTATTACAAATGTTAATAACGATATTATTTTGTAAAATTATATGCTGCTGTAATAACTACTTTTGTCACATTTGCTTAAATTTCTTATAGTACACGATTTTCTTGTATATTTTAAAAACCTTATTTAAGGTTTTTCTAAAGGGATATCGTATTATTGGTTGTATTACATGATGTATAAATCATAATATGTAGTCAAAGCACGATATAAAATAATCAAATATAACAAAATTTTTAACTTATCAGAGAAATTACGTATTTTATTTTATTTTTGTCTATGCAAACATCGCAAGTTGTGTCATAAATGTACTTCGATTCTCAGTTTGGTGAGGTTCTTTTTTCTTTCGAAAGGAGAAATTGCGATGCATTATCAAACTTTGTTAAAAACATTTGTCTTTGGGGGAAAAAACTAGATTCTCTGGGTTTAAAACTGTAATTGTATTTGGTCGATTTGTGCATAAGGTTAAATTCAGATATTGAATTAGTATTAACATCCAAATTAAAAGAAAATTATTCTGAAAGTTCAGTTTCATATATTTTAAATATAGTTATGAATTGGTTTTAAACTAATTTCAATCTTGTAAATTGTACGTTTATGTATAACAGATTCTTAAGTGAAAATTAATTTTTTTTTACAGGTGTGTGAACTTCATTTTAGCCCTTGTGATATTGAAAAGTAGACGTATATGTATCTTGAAGAAACTGGTGAAACATTATCAGCTCCACTTAAAAATCCCAAGAGACTAAGGAAAGATGCACTTCCAACAAAACTTCCTGGTGCCCTCCATCATATTTATCCACTGATGTATTCCATAAGAGAAAGTGTTAAAGATCGACAAACAATCCATGAAAACCGACAATTACAAATGGCTATTTCCGAAAGCATTTTATGTCAAAAAAATCTGAGGATTCAAAATCAGTGTTTACAACATTCAGTGAATTACAGAACTTGTTTAAATTACAACAATTTTACTCAAAAATTTACTGTTGTCATGAAATCAAATACAATTGTTATTGGAATTTTTGAAATAAGTCCTTCTCCAGTTTAAATACTGTAGTCATCGTTATTCGGACATAATTCGGAATGATCTATAATCCGGACCTCTTTGCGCATGCGCCGCGTTGACCATGCGCATAGGCGTTTACGCGTGCGCGTAAGACCTTTACGATGCGCATATGAGTGTGCGCAAGTGCAGAATACGTTTTCGCGTGCGCGTTTAATGTATAATGACGTATAAGCTAAAATTATCTAATTATCTATTTCAGTTAATGTTGATGATTGCGTTGTTCCTTAATTTTCGAATTGGATCCGGCTTATTATTTTTTGCAGACTGTAAGAGCAATTTTATAAAAGTAAGCTAAACTTTCGATTATATCAAATAGAATTTCCGATATATATTTGTTAATATGTAAAGGATCTAAAGCGAAAGTATGTTTTGAAATCCGAAATCTGTTTATCAATTTCGCGCTGCTCGGCGGGGGGAACGCCGCGGCGGGCCCGTAAGGAATTGGAAGTTGATCTGTCAGCACTATCCTTATCTTCAGCGCAGATGTTTTTATTTTATTTGGCTTATAATTCCTTACCAAATGTATTTCATCTCGATATGCTCCGTCTTGATATGATTTAAAACAAGTTCCTCGTCATTATAATTCGCTTCCGATAGCGAAGAAAAGGACGAGGTTATTGAAAACGAAAAAATTTCGATTGACAAATTAGTCGGTGTTCTCGACACAGCAATTATAGGACTTGAACAGCGGAACTTTGTAACTGAACAAGAAATTATGTCTGTTTAATAGAATTAAAGAGAAAGTATTATCACATGAAACGAAGCAAAACTTAACAACTTACATTGAAAGAAATATTTAATAAAGTAAACAAATAAATATTAAGCTTTTTCCAAATGATACCCTTTAGGGATGAAAATGCCTATTTTTTTTTAAAAACTTCAGCGTTTCACCAATCTGCAGAACTAAAAGTGTTAAATGATAGTAAGTTACCCATGCATGTTAAAAGTATTCATGAAATTGATAATATTTTAAATGCACTTGAACTTCTAGAAGCAGGAGCTCCAAAAAGTATTGTAAATATAATTAATTTTATTAATATATTTATAGATAAACTGGATGCCATTGTTTCAGATGATAAAAAATGTGTTTTAACATTTTTAAAAGAGCAACTGAATTTGCTGTGCCTTCCAAAACAACGTTTAAGATATTCCCCCCATTTCTTAATTTTTGCCTGTATTTTAAATTCGATTTCACCCCACGCCTATAAATTTATGCGAAATTCTGGAAATCTGATCATGCCTCACACTGTTACTCTACGAAACATATGTTCTAATCTAAATGTCAGTGTCTCTGAAGAGCAGCAGCAGCACTCTAATTTCTTAAGGTATATTAAACAAAAATTTAAAACTTTAAAAGAATGTGAGCACAATGTAATATTAATGATGGATGAAATTCATCTAAAACCTTTTTATGATTTTAAAGGTGGCAATATTGTTGGTTCTGCATATGACAGTGCATTTGCTGCTTCTTCAGCATATACATTTATGATTAGAAGCTTATTATCATCTTACAAAGATGTTGCTCACATCCTGCCAATAAAATCATTTAGTGCAGAAAAATTGTTTGAAATTTTAAGAGATGTAATTGTAGGTCTTGAAAAGATAGGTCTTAAGGTAGTTTGTGTGGTTAGTGATAATAATAGCATTAACAGGAAAGCCATGTCCTTCTTTAGTGAGAAGCATGAAATTAAAATTATGTACCAAAATCCATATGAACCACACAGACCCCTTTTTTTTTTTTTTGTCATTGATCCTGTTCATTTGTTAAAATGTATTCGTAACAATTGGATTGGCCAAAAAAATGATGGCTTGTTTATGTATTTTCCTAAATTTAATGCTGTTGGCAGTGAAGAATTTAATGCAGCCTCATTTAATACTATAAGAAAACTACATGATCTTGAATTTGATAGTTTAATTAAATATGGGTATGGTTTAACTCTTAAAGCTTTATGGCCTTCAAATCTTGAAAGGCAGAATGTTAAATTAGTTTTACAAGTGTTTAATAACTGGGTAATCACAGCCTTAACAGAACTAGGTAATAAACACAATTTGGATAGTTATGAATCAACAGCTAATTATATAGATATAATTTATAAATGGTGGTGTATAGTAAATACCAAAACACCTCTTAAAGGCAAACGACTGAAATGTTCTTTTCAAGAACCACTGATATTTTCAAATGTAGACTCAAATGTTGAGTATTTAAATAACTTTGTAAACTGGTTGGACAAATGGAAAGATGCAAAATGCACTACTGGTTGCTTGTCAAAAGAAACTCATGATGCTCTGAGAAACACAACATATGCACTTATTTGAATTGGGCAAGTATTGCATTAAAGAGCTAGGCATGAATTATTTTTTACCTGGTAAAATACAAACAGATTTGTTAGAAGATCGTTTTGGCAAGTATCGCCAACTTTCTGGTTCGCAATACTGTATTTCCATTAGACAGGTTTATGAATCTGAGTCAAAATTACGAATGCAAAGCTTATTACCTTTAAAGCTTAATTCAAGTACTTTTGGAAATATTGCTATTGAAATAAATGAAAGGAATGATTGTGAGGAGGAGGAAAACATTGATTTATCCCTTGTGGAAACTTTTTCTCTTGTAGTATCTGAAAACGACATGATAGAAGCTCAGCCATATGTTCCCATATTAACTTATATAGCTGGTTATTGCCTTTATTCTACCTTTAAAAAAATATCCATGTGAATTTTGTAAAATGACTTGTGTTATTGATAGGGAACTCAATATCCCTTCCGAATTTAATTTAATCAGAAAATTAGATAGGGGTGGCCTTTTGTATCCTATGCCTCATGTTTTAAATATTGTTTTATATAATTTTATTGTAGTACAAAAAACTTGTATCTCAAGAGTTTGAAAGTAAGTTTTTAAAACACCCTGCTCAAAGAAATTTAGCTGTAAATTTAACTCTGAATGCTTTGATGTCAAATGAGGATTTGGATATTGAACCATGTGTAAAAGGCCATTCCTTTGATCCCATAGCTGAAAATATAATCAAATCCTCTACAAACACGATGTTAAACAACTATTGTAAACAAAAAAAAAAATGATTTAAAAAAACCTGCTTGTAAAAAAAGAAAATTATCAACTTTGATAAAGTAAATAAAAAAGTAATTTACAGTTAGTCTTAAAAAGTATCTAACATGTTTTAATAATAATGTCTAAAAATGCAACACAAGTATATAAAAGTTTAGTAGTAACTTCCTGAGCTTTAAAGACATGTCTGCAATTTTCTAATAGCTTCAAAACAGATTTTTTTTTCCATTCTAAATTTTTTAAGTCATAACTTATATAATTCACTTTCAACCATTAGTCTGTTTTATGAACAGAGACATTGCTACTACTTAATTCTGATTAAATGAATAATTTTTATAATCACAGAAGCAGTTCAATTCAAATCTCTAAATGCTATGTATGCTATTCATTCGACTCGTCATGACAATATATATGTTGTATTATAATTTATTTTTAATTATAATTAGCTCTTTATAGATATATTTTACTCCAGCTCTTGTAAATGAATCCAAAAACTTTATTTCTTGTATTTTTTTTTAAATTTCAAAACGAGCTATTTTTATCATTATAATTTATGTTTTGAATTGCAATTTAATGTTTTTCAGTTTTTGTACTTCCTATGAGATCACTGTAGAAAATGTGTGTAAAATCCCACAAATCGAATAATTTTGAATTAATTCCACATTTTTAATCTTGCTTATTAAATCAGATCCTTTGCTTAAAACTAATTGTATGATGCATTATTTTTTTCAAACTGTATTCATCCTTCTATTAGTTTTGTGATTCTGAGTAGTAGTTTGTATTTCTGTTTTTGTGAATAATAATAATAAAAAAAAGTTGCTGTTTCAGTGAAATGGATTTTTTCTTTAAAAATGCTTTTAAATTAGATTGTGTTATCAAAATAAAAGTTCTAAGTCTGACATTATTTAAAATATTTTAAATAAGGTGAAGGTATAGTTAATGTATGAGAAAAATATATATATATAATTTTCATAATAATTATAACACCTTTCAGAAAAAAATAGTTTAACATTTGCTGTGCTGAAAATGTAACTTTAACTGATTAGTATTTATTTTAAAGAAAATTCGATTTAAATTTAAAAATCAAGATGCAAGTGCTTTAAAGGAGGAAAGTAATTATAAATATATTAAAATGAAACGTCAACGGTAAAAAAGTAGATTGTAAGTTCTTTCCGAAACTATATGGTCGTTGCGCTACCGTAATTTCGATAGCCTAACTGGGATGACTCATAAGTGGAGCTTTCTGGCTTTGTAGTCTAGGTGGCGTTGCCTGTACCCAGACTCTGTGAAATGAAAGAGCAAGGGGATATGCACTATTATCGCTACAACAAAACGGACATTTTCTCGGGATGTGCTAAGATAAATGATAACAGGGAGCCCAATTTCATTACAGAATGACATCTCATGACATCCATTACAGAATGACATGCCCAGCTCGAGCCGATTTCTTGCGATTTCTTTCTTTGGAGGCACCCGAAGTCTGAACTCTTTCATCACAGATCACAGATGAGTGAAGAGTTAAAGAAAGTCTTTGGCAGTGCTATCACTAAAATAACATCAAAATGATTAATGTGAAGTTTTCTTGAAGATATCGTCTTCAAAAATCGTTGAAGACTTAGTGTGTGCTACGATAAATAAATGTTAAACAAATGACAAACATTACTCTGCCTAACGGTTAAATAAAATCTTAACCAGGATTTATGCTGCTTTTTTATCGATATTTAAGAGAAGCTATATCATTGTTCCAAACCTATATATTCTGTTCAAAATAGCTTTCGAAAATCAGTCATGTTTGTGTTCTTATAAATCTACATGTTTTAAATTCAAGCTTCACTGTCTGATGCAAAGCAAGGTAGCTCTCAGTTTCTCTTTTCAAGGATTAAAGATATGTTTAGTAAAAATACCATAAAAGTAAAAATATTATTTTGGAGAAAAGTATAATTTTTCAGTGACAAATTATAAAATAATTTCAAATTCTTCCGCTTTGGCTTGGCAAATGCGCCTGCAACATTATTTCCTTTACAATAACACTCTTGTTGCCGGAAAATACGTTCTACAGCGACGGTAAGTATTAACTCGAATTTCTCAGATATAGAATTTTCTCCTTCTAATTTTCCAAGAAGTTTTACGAATTCTGAGGATGCCAAAAATTACATAAATTTAGAAATTTTGAGTGATGTGTTTAGCGTTTAAAAATTAGGCATTACGTTTCAAATAAAAATATGTAAAATATTATTTTCATAATTGCAATCAAATAAATTAGTTAAGATATTATTCAAAATTAAGTCCCTATTAAAAGGAGAAGAATTTCTCCTTAAAATTTAAGTCTGTTACATTCAAAATACATTCCGTGGTAATTTCTTATTAACCTAAAAGCCTCAATGCTTTTATCACTAAGACTTGATCAGCTCAGTTTTGTAATAAATAACACGCCTGCAGAAACCTGTGTTTTTGATTCAATGGAAATAAACGAAGAGAGTTTACTATGGCCATAAAGCTGGATGTTCTAGTCTTTCCAAAAACTTAAAAATCATATTTTAAAACCATGTCTGAGTAATATTTCAGCTTCTCAGGAAAAGATCTAGACACGTCTTTTCTCACATAGCCGCTTCTAAAACAATTATCAGACTTGAAAGCTATCTGTGAGCACGCGTCAAAAGAAACATTCCTGGGAATTTTCTCCTTCAGTATATCTTACTTAGGTGGCAATCAGTTCTTTGCGAAATCAATACGCGGGACACAGCTACAAATGATACATTTCCGCTTCAATTACAAAATAACGCGTGCGCCTAGCATCGGTTCCAGTAAAACTGTTTATCATTCCCCAGCAATGGTAGGAGAAGCTTATTTCTTGGAAACGTTTCTTCTACCGTCGCTCATTGGTAGGTGGATAGCACTTTAACTTGTTTTTCGGTGGCAACGAAATCACAGATCCCACAAGTTCTTATCATCTCTATTACTGACGAGAAGGCGATAGATTACAGTTTGTTCTTCGTTCAAAAGTCTTATTAATATCTTCTTAGATTAGTCAGTTATTACTTCTTTACTTTTGCAGGGATGGGATTCAGATCTAAAAAAAAAAAAAAAAAAAAAAAAACCCTCAGTGGCGTAACAAACAGTCCTAAGGAGCCAAGGCCTGCAGTGCCGGAAATCTGCTTTCTTGACTTTGGGCCCCGGGGTGAGTAAGCATATGCCCTGAATAATTGGTTAGCTTGTCGCAGGACCCCCAGTGTTTAGTCCCCAAGCGAACTTAGTACTCATTTTATGGACCCAAGTAATGGAAATCAAGGGATGGAAGGCTGAGTCGACTTCGCCCAGCCCGGGAATCGAACACCGGACCTGTGGTGCTGCTGCGCGATGCGCTAGCCACTGGGCCACCAGGCCTCAAATCACAATTAGCATGTTATAATCTGCTTAAATACTACATCAAACAGATTGGTTGAGCTGAATTACCTGTTACTGAGCGGTTCTAATTAATTATCCTTGAGTTTAAAAGCCAATCTTAAAAGGAGAAATGCATTTTCCTCGAAAGAAAAATAATTAAATATTTCTAATGATCTTGGTTTGGAGAACACTTTTATTGAAGCAGTATACTGTACTTCATTGGATAGCAATGAACATCAGCAAATCATTGACAAATTTATCGTCATAAAAAATTTCTGGAACAATGTACTTAAACATCTGCATTTGTTATTCAGACTCATAATTCACCCTAACTGGAAGCAAGTTAATTCAAAGCAGTTTTATTAATCTCGGAAACTCGAAATAATTAAAAGTTATGCCTTTTCTCGTGCAAACGAGATCCCGTTTACAAGGGGGAAAAACCCTACTTCAAATGTTGAAAATACGTGCACATAAGGCAACTAAAATTTTAATCTTGGAAACAACATGGGGCATAAAAATACCAAGTAAGCCCCGGTTACAGCCATACCTCAGGAGAATTCGAAATTATTTAGCAGATTCAAAGAAATGAATACAAACATTAAAAATGTTTTAATTATAAAATCTGCTCTTCACCTTCTGCGCTGACTGATAGGACTTTACTTTTGATATAATTTCAGTCGCCAGGTACTTTACTCCGTAAAAAATGACCCAATAGCTATAGACTGAACCGACAGGAATCTCAGAGAATGCCTGGGTCTTTTAAGAATTAGTTTTAAAAATATATCCTTAAATATGTAGAGACATTGGCTATTTTTTTTTTGAGGCAGGAGACTTGAAAAATGAGCAATACCCTCGCCGTGCGCTAAGAAGG